GGGAGAGGGGGATGGGGGGCAAGGAGACGCACGGCCAGACACAAGTGGATGAGCCACCGTACGGAGGGGGTACGTGGAGGGGGGCACCACCCTCATGTTTCTCGTCAACACTAACCCTTGCGCCACAAAAACGAAGCGGCCAAAGAATTTCCCCTACCCCTCCCTTTAAAAAAAGAAGTAGTACACTTCCGCTATTATTTTAAAGGCAATTATTAGTAGATAAAAGTAGTGCTAGATTTCTGTGAGAATGTGGGCTGGTACACCCATTCTCTCTCCCCTGTAAAAATTTTGAATATCCGAGGGGAAACGTTCGATGGTTCATTTTTGGTAGTTGTCAATGAAGATTATCCAAGTCGTTGCACGTTGCACGGTAAAATCAGTGATTGAATTTTGGAGGAAAAGTGGAAAATTTTGGGAACTCCCATAGTTTTAGGAAAAAGTCGTCAAATTTTGAAGAAGTTTCCTAAAAACAACACTGTAAGAATTGTCATCGTAAATTTACGAACAAACACCTGTTAAATTTCCAACACGAACTTTTCGTAATTTGTAGAAAACGAACACTTGTAAAATGGTCAACAGTTCGTACTCTGCAACTCAAATGTGTACATAGTACACATTTAAGAAAGTGTACATGGCATGTATGCTTTAATTAATGTGTACATGGCTATGTACACATTTATAAATGCCCATGTACACATTGAATTGACAAAGTAACTTAGTCTGCAGGTGTGGAATAATCACACGCGTGCATTCTTAACGTGCATTGGAGTTTTGACACCTTATTACCCTTATTCGCCATAGGTGACAAAAAGTTCGTTTTTCACGTATACGAACAGTTCGTATTTTCTACTTTACGAACATTGATCGTCAAATCCAAAAACCGAACTGTTCGTGAGGAATTTTATCGAGAAATTACGAAAGCTGCTAACAGTGAAGTTGAAATTTCCTTTCGTTATTTGATAAAAAGTTCTCAAAATCTGAGGACCTTTCCTAAAATTATGGGAGTTCCTCAAAGTTTTCCCATTCCCTTCAAAAATCCAGACAATGTTTCCCAGTGTGTGTGTGTGTGTGTGTCGACAATTTTTCTGGTAATATCTGCTCATATATTTTTCACCCAATTCTTCGGTATCTCTCCTCTGTCTTTCTACAATAGGATTTCCGAACGCCGCAACGCGCTTGATCTAACGCGCTTACACCAACCGCAGCCCAAACGCCATCAGCGCCGCACGGTCCATCCCCGCAGCCTTATTGTCAAAACTGCAGCAGTAGCCTCGCCCTGCTCCATTACTCTTCAAATACCGGAGCAATCTCGGGTGCGGCTCGGGGCGACTGTCGCTCGGGCTGCCGTCGAGGCTGCCGCCGTCGCTCGGCGGCTCTCCTCGCGCTGCTGCGGCAGAGCTGCTTAAAGACGTCAAACCACAGCCGACGCCTAAGCCTAGCCTGTCCTAGCCTCATGCTTAGCCTCGCTCGACCTGAACCGTCGCCGTCGTCGTCACCCATCGCCCCCAAAAGAGGTTAAAAGTTGGAGCCTTGTGCGGTCGTCGCCGCGGCGCGCGACAGTCTCCGAGTCAGGTGGGTCCAACGAGGCGCGCCACCGCCGCCCAGGGAGAAGACGCCCCCACCCCCTCAGAAAAAACAGACAGACAGTCATAGGAAGCGCCATCTATAGTTCTCCCAAGATTATGCAAACCAACGTTATTTTCAGTGTTGTTATTTGTACTCCAAATTCTATCACATTTTTTAAGCTCGTTCGGTTGGAATTTTTAAAGGCAAGCCGAATGGCAAAAATTTAATTTGCTCTCGAAAAACAAAGGCACTAAACAACACCTTTCCTGGGGCACTAAAGTCAAGGGCGCAGTTTAGTGCCTTTCCAAAAGCACTCAACTTTAGTGCCTTTTAAAGGTGTTTTTCCAGTGTGATGGCTCGCTTAAACAATATTTTGGAAAAAAAAAACGCGCGGCGTCATCATATCTAGTGATTGTGATTGGCATGCTTCATTACACAGTTGTCAAGGAGATATTTTTAAAATATTCATTTTATTTTTACTTTATGGAGGAGGGAGGTTAAGGTGGCAAATAGAAATAACGTGTAGGCTCCGCAGCCCTCTGACCCTGCATCGGACACTTGGCTATAGTCAGCCAGCCCGTTTACCCCAAAATGTGAGTGGCTGCTCCACGTGTGCTAGCCTAGCGGCCCGGAGGCGGCTCGGAGGCCCTCCGCGCCGCTGCACCCGTGCTAATGAGCCGAGGCGGAGGCTGCACCAGGCAGAGAGATGAGCGTTTCCTCGGGAGGTCGCCCGGGGCCCGGAGCGAGGGAGGTCGCGGGGAGGAACTATACCATTACCAGGCGTTAGTACCTCCGTATTTTTGTGTTTACTCCCTGTCTACAAGCCTGCAAAGCTGCCGAAAAAAAAATTGTCATTAGCAATTTTTTTTCGCCCTTGAGTCTTAATTTTGAAGTGGGATATTAAGTATTTTTATGTTCATAACTCGAAGAATAGAAATTTTGTTGGCTATGCGCTCAATTCCCTAAAATGATTTGGTGAACGTTTCGGCAACTCTATTCCAATTTCAGAGGAAATTTTAGTTATAGCTTTAGGTCCTATCGATGCGTCGTAGAATCAGATGCAGGTTTAAGTACACTTTTTTCACCAAACTTAACAAAGTGCTGTCTGCACCGAGGCGCACCGAGGTGCACCACAGTTCGCCATAACGTCTCCCAGGACCTTCCTCGCTTTGCGACAAGGAGGCTTGGTTCAGCAAGGGCGATGCGCGTGGGGCGTGGCGGGGCGTGGCGGGGCGTGGCGGAGCACGGCGGGGTGGCAGGGGCAGACGTCCGGAACGCCCTGTGGCCCCCATTGGGAGCTGGAGGGAGACACTATGAGGAGTGAACTTTGAACCTCGTGATTTTTTTCCCGTGTCCGCAGGCCGGAGATTTCTGCAGTTATCGACGCATATTTTCTTCTTATTTTCAATGGGTTGTCGGTCAACATCACTTTGGCCTGGCACCTTGTGTCCTCTTTTCCGAACGACCCTTTGCACTCTTTTTAGTGCGCACCATCCGTCCCTTTGCACTCTTTTAAGTGCGCACCATCCGTCAGCGCAATAATTTGGCGCGGCGGCGCGTACCGCGCGTACGAACGGGAGCAGCGAGCGGCATTGTTCAGCGCGACTGTTGCGGCCTTGGGCGTCAAACTCCGTACAACACGTGGCGTGGTGCCTCCCCCTCTCTCCCGCACTCCCCTTCAAACGAGACCGAGACAATACTCTCCAGGCAGGGTCAGTGCCATCTCCAAATCGTATTGGCTGTATCTCCACCCCCCCCCCCCTCTAGTACCCTTTCTCACTTCTGCCCTATCGCCGATTTCGAGCCCATTCATCTATTTCTTTCGTCGTAAAAGGTGGGTTTAAACGATTACAATATGATTACACACGGCAGCATAAAGAGCGGGAGGGTCGAATTTGACGAGAGCTCGTTTCGTTCCTGAAGACCCCCTCCTTCTTTTAACATCCCATTCGTCGCCCATCCCGGTCTCCCTTTTCGGAGGATGATCCTCCTGCTCTCGCACAGTTTATCCGCGCCTCGGCTCGGCGCCGCGCGCGCAGTTAAGACCCTCTCTGCCGGCTCATTAAACCGTTCCGCGTAGGTGTACTGTGAAAAAAGCTAGGACTGAATTCCTCCCCAACGCAAATTCGTAAGGGATCATCCTCCGCGGAAAGTATACGCCCGTCACTTCCCTGCCGGTGGTCCAGCCAATGCCAAGCTCTCGTAGCGCCTGCGAGGTAGGCAACATCTCTCCTGCCGCGCATCCGTGTACAGCGGGGTGGCCTACCCGGAGTCTCGCAGGCGGCGAGCTTCCCGAATTTTGCCGAATGAATCTGTGCAAAACGGACGCACTTTCTGGACGATATATCAGCATGTGTCACGCAAGCAGGGATTTCATTCAGTCCACGCCTCCGTTATCTTACTCCCTTAACTTTCCAAACAGAGGATATACTTCGCTATGGGTCTTGCCCGCCTTGTGCGCCTGCTGGTTAGGCAGCACAGCGTGACTCGTCACGGCCCTGCCCTGCCCGCCCCATCGACTGCGTTGACAGGTGGATGCTGTCCCCCCCTCCCCCTCATCGCCCTCTCCTTTCCTCTGCTCTGCGTTGAACGCGCTGCCTCTTGACCCGTTTCTGGTGCAGCCGAGCACCCGTCACTATTTCGCACACACCAGTGGAAAGACTCCCCCCCCCCTCTCTCTCTCTCTCACACACGCTCTCGCTCTCTCACTCGCTCTACCCCTCTCTCTTTCCATCTCTCACTCCCTCGCCCTTTTTTGTAGTATCACAAGGGACAGTGTAGAGATTGGGAGGAGGGGAGGGGGGGATCGTAACGTCCAGTTAAGCGAATTTCCCCATTCCTCGATGCTGACCGCCAATGGGACGCTCTGTCGGGTAGCAACATGTAGCCAGGTGTGAGTCACGCAATCGAACTGTCACATTCATGGGCAACATTTGGTGAATTTGCTGTCGGTATGGTGGTGGTGGTGGTGGTGGTGGGAAGTGGTGTTCGATGGGTGAGAGAAAGTGACGATAAACGGAGACAGACTTGGAATTCATTATTGTTATTAGCAACACTGTCTGGGTGAACACTTAAGTTGTCAGATAGGAACACGTTAGCGGTTGGATTAAAATTGAATCATGTATAGTATCACTGAAAATGTACTGTTTGGTCGGAGCAATGATATGACTAGATGCACTCGTCTGCTGGTGCAAAGGCACCTCGCGTAAAAACTAACTAAACTGACTGTAGGTACATGGTAAAAAACTTGTAGAGAACATTTTGGGAATCTTAATACTAACTTGCATAAAAAGAATATGCAACTGTTACATTGACGGTGCGGGTGGTAAGGTTAGGTTCGGGGAGGCGACTCGCCCTCCCGCCCGGTCACGTGGGTCGTTGATTCCCGTCGTGATTGGTCGGCGGTAGAGGCGCCGCCGTGCTCCGATTGGGTGGCGCCCGAGGACTTCAGCGAGTGCAGCGCCCTGGAGCCGCCGCTGCGCCGCCGGCCGTCTGACTTCAGCGACGACGACCGCTCCGTTGTCGTTCTCAGCGACGAGGAGAGCGACGGGTGGAAGTCGAGGGCACACCTTGTCATGTGAGGGAGTGCGAATTTATTCTTAAAAACTCGAACCGATGCAAATAATCGAACCGATGCCACGATTGGATTCCACCGGCGAAAGGTCGTCCTTTTCTCTCTACCTTTTCATCGTGTTGTAGATGAGATCTGACGGCAGTCGCAGGCCGAACGACATGTGGTCCTTGTTGAAACTATTGAAAGCCTCGTGCAGACAGCAGAAGTCGTCCTTCCTCGGGACACCCCGCGCCTGCTCACCCTCGGCTGCAAACCACCGGAGCGGACGACATGGGTGAGGTTGAGCACAATATTCTGATTATTCTAGTAATTTTGAATGTGTTTATTGTTTCTTCATCTTTTTTTTCTTTGCAAAGTACATTGTTAAACAGATAAAATGGACACAATTTGAAGCATGTCAGCGACAGGCGTGTACAGGCATTATGAGGATGAGGTCGTGCAAGGAACCTTAATGTCAACATATGGTGATGATACTTATTATTATTTTTATCTTCTCTCCATTTTCCATCTACTATAGTTATGATATTTTCATAGATATTATGTCCAGCATCCAAATTGATTTGTTGTTTTTTTCCTCATGTAGTTTAGAGAATGGATTGCGGCTTATGGCTAACCGCAAAGTCGGACAGACAATGACAGCTGCCGAGTCAGGGTGGTAAAAGGTAAAACTGTAGCAAGTTCCACACACACACACATAATATGTACACTGTACACTCGACGCGACGGACCGAGTGACGTCATTCTCGCGTAAAAACTGTCCGCAGCAGCAGCAAAACGCTGCGTTGTCCCGTGACGTGTGACGTCACTTACTCAGCTTGGCGGGCTCGGTGCCGGGCATGAAGTCGGGGTCCACGACGGTGTGGTCGCGAAAGTACTTGGCCAGGTACGCCTCCTTCCGCCGCCGCTTGGCCACCGTCTTGGGGTCCACGAGCAGGATCTTGGCCTTGGTGCCCTCGTGCCGATGTATGTCCGAGCAGTCACGCGTTTTCTGCGCACAACATCGAAACACTTTTGAGCAGGAAAGTTTTGCTCCGTACAGGTGTAGCTCCTCCGGGCCCGCCGTCAGCCGGTCGGGCGGGCGAGCTGCGTGGGCGGCCTACCCGGAAGGCGTCCAGCTGCCAGCGGGTGTAGCGCGCCAGGTCGCGCGGCTGGCGGCGCGCGCCCAGCATGCAGGCCTGGCACAGGACGCAGCCGCGCGCCAGCCCCTGCACCGCGGCGTCCAGCGCCCAGAACTCCACGCCGGCGGGCAGCTCCTGCAGGCAGCCCTCGCAGCGGCCGGGCCCCTCGCCCGCCCCGCAGCGCACCGCCACCGGCACCCCGGGCAGGTTGAACGCGCCCGGCGAGTAGGACCCCGGCCTGCGCACAGATCGGACTTTGACGACTCTGCCTCTTTTCTGCGAGCCTCAGCGAATGAGCTGCCGGCGGCGCACATGGTGCGCGGTGCGCGAGCGCCAGAGGGGCCGCCATGGCGTCTCACCCGGGGGTGTCCGAACAGACGAGGGCCGTCCTGGTGGTGTTGGTGTTGAAGGGTACCGCGCACGGTGCGCCGGACAGGCCACCGAGTACCACCTGGTAGGTGTTGGGTGCGGGGAGGTGTTGGTCCACCTCCCGGAATCGGAGGGCGGTGCGGGCTCCGGGGCCGACGCCGCGTTTGCTGGTGACCTGGCCCAACGGAGAGGACCCTTTCAACCTCACGGGGAACTAACCTCTGCTCGCGGAGAATGCACAGAAGCTGGTCATTTGGAAACGCACCTTGTGGAGGACGTCGTACAGGGCACCGAGGTTGGCGGCATGGTACGCTGCCGGGCCCAGGTCACGGAGAGCGTCTGTGGTCCGCAGCGCGAGGTTTGCGAGCCTGGAGGCGCCGCCCTTGAGTCCGGCCAAGGGCATCACCGCCCTGCTCTGGGCCGAGCCGAACGCCACCCGGGCCTGCTCCTGCTCCCGGACTACGTAGTCGAAGTCTGTGAAACAGGAGACACACACAAGGAGGTGGTGCTGGGTGACCGGGCCGGCGAGCGGCAGGCCGACGTGCAGTAGTGCGAAATGATTATTTTAAAGAAATAACTTAAACGGAAGCGGAATTTGACTATGGACACCGTTCAATACTGAACATCGACTCGAAAACACATCTCGCACTCCGACACGGATCGTGCTCTGCCGCTCGCCGACCAGAGTATAGGGTCGGCCGCTGACCAGCGGTACCTGGCAGGTAGTAGTCCCAATGCCTGTCTGACGCTGGCTCGGACTCGGAGCCCCACAACCACATGCCCGCGTTGCCCTCCCGGGGCGGGGGTAGCCGACGACGCCCGTACACCGAGGGAACCGCCTACCACGCCCGCGCCCGGCCCGGTGGGTCCGACTGTTGTCAGAGATTGGGGCTGCGCCCTGAGCCGGGCGGGAGCCTATAGCCGCCACCTGAGCTGTCGCTGTCGGCGCCGTCGGCTCGGCGGAACAGGTGACAGTCGACAATGAAATCCATCGCGGCTAAAGTAAGGAGGGGATGATACCGCGCGGGGCGGCGCTGAGCGCGGCGGGTGCTGCCGGGGGCCCGCGTGTGCTGCCTCCTGAGGTGGGGAGCGCCCCCGGCCCCCAGCACCCCGGCGGCCACGTCAAGCGCCATACGTATGCACACGTGGCTGTATGCATGAGGAGGATGGGGGACCCCGGCCCGGGCTCGTCCGTGACTTATGCGCGCCGGTAGCTTCAGAGCAGCCGTGACGCCCGAAGGCCCGAAGGCTAGGCCAGCCCGCGTGGCACGCGGTACTGACGGGCGTGCCTACCTGGCAGGGGCCTCCCAGGGATGGGCAGAGGCTAAGGAGGATGATGGTGTCATCGTCATCCGAGATTCGCTTCCTGTATCCTCCCCGCTCCCCGCCGGTGCGTGGATGCGAGGGGCTGGTGACTACGAGCAGCCTTTCTCCGGCTTCTACATCTGGCTCCCCCTCCCGCTCGCTCCCCGTTCGCCGCGTACCGGTGGGCTCCGGCGGCGCGGTGGAAGGCCGGCGCCGTCCCCAGGGCCACTGCTGGCGCAGCCCAGCGCCGGGGCCGGCGCGCGGGTAGGCGAGGTACGCGGGCCGAGCGCGGCCGCGCCCTTTGGACTTCTTGGCGGCCTCCGGGGCCTTGAGCAGCGCGCGGAGCACCACGTCTGACGCGGAGCAGCCGGCGGGGCAGCGCGCCGCGCGCTCCCACGGAGGCGTCGACGGCGGACCGCGGGTCCGGTTGGGGTCGGCGTCGGCGACGCACGGCCCGACCACGGACGCGCGCCGCGCCACCGCCTCCGCCACCAGGGCCTTGATGTGCAGGTGCAGCGCGCTGGGGGCGGGCATGGCGTCGGCGGCGCGTCCGGTGGAGAACTACACAACACACATCGAGAGGCCCTCGATAACGGGCGCCCCGTACAAGCCACCCACCAGCCCTTTTCCAATCAGTGCCCCCGCCCCCTCCCCGCTTCCTCACCCCTACCCTCGCCCTTTGCCCTTGCTGTTCGTGCGCCCCAAGAGCGAGGACACACTATTGTGAACTATTCCTTTTTATGGCTTTGGGAAAATGGAACATCTGTCAGCGCTGCGCTTATCTCCATCGCTGGCGGCCCTGGCGGAGCGTGGCGGAGCGTGGCGGAGCGGGGCCAGCAGGGCTGTACCGCCGTCATCGGGCCCGTCCCTGCTGTCCCTGTACCGCCCCCCTGTCCCGCCCCCGGGGGCCGCCCCCACACGCATGCGAAACCAATCACTGACTTGGGTGGAATGAAGGGGAGCGGGGAGCATTGGGGGGAAG